ACTACCGGCTGGTCCCACATCTATGGATGCCATGCTCCCTTCTTTGAATTCCTATTAATTCAGCGATATTAATCAAAGAGCGACTTCTCTCTCGTTATAGCGTGCCTCATTGTTTTCGGTACCCCCCTCCCGATTCAATATCGACATGCCCTGTGACGCAATGCGTTCATTCGCCACCGCTACAGGCAATGCACGCGCATACACATATACACACGTACTCACACATATGTGTATTCATGGGCGAATGGGCGATGTGTGCAGCTTGTGAAACTGCGAGGGATACGCCGAACAAGAAGGAAGGATCACAAAGGCCAGCGTCGTTGTCGTTGTCGTTGTCGTTGCGATCGAGCGAAAGCAGGTGCCGACTTCGAAAGAGCCGAAAAGAGTTCGACGTGCTTGTCGACGGGGGATCTTCAATCACCATCGATGGTAGCGCGTATCTATAGAACGCACACGCGGCCACGTATTTTCCTTTCTCCTCTCTTCCGCTACTCTTCCATTTTTTTTATTGTTGTCTTTGCGACCCTTCGCGCCGCGTGGGGTCGCGCGAAGAATTCTCCAGAAGTCCAGAGGAAAAACAGAAGGCTCTTGGAGAGCGAGAAACAACGAGAACTTGTAAAATGAATATTACGAAGAATGTATAGCGATAAATAGCTGTCATAGTCAACGTAAACCAAGCTGTCCATTATACAAGCTGGAAACCAGGAAAAGCTGACAACCTCAAAATATCTGATATTAAAAAAGCCATCGACGACAACAGAAAGGTAGTCTTATCTCGATGATGTTAAGAGTAAAATTTATGCGGATAACTGTTTTCAATAGTTTTAAATTTTTTTTATATCTTATATTGGATTAGAAGAAGAGGGAAAGAAAGAGATATCGAAGCGAAATATTTTTTATACACGAGGTAGTCCAACTTTATCATATTTCCGTGCAAGTCACGGTACGCAAATATTCTACGCTATATAACTACTTTGAACTGGCGATGCACGAAACGCCCGTGTTCTTCCCTCGCGAGTCCTGAGAACTCGAGAAGGACATCAGCTTGGCCACGTTCCCAGGGCACCGCGGGGGCCTCCCGCTATTTTCTTAACCTAGCACCGTGCAAACCGACCGAACAAACGGACGGCCCGCGGTGTGTGTCTGTACACGCGAAAGTCGCCACCGCCTCCCCCTGTAACCGCATAAGAACCGCGAGAAAGTTACCCTCGTAGGATCGACGTCTACCACCACGGGGCCCCTGCATGACCCCAGCGTCTTTTCTTAGCATCTACCCTACCCTGGCGGTCTTTCCCTCTTTGTTCTCGCTCTTTCTCCAATTCATTTTTATTGACGTTCCCCTGCACCTCTGTCTTCTCCATCGCGGCTCTCGTCAGGTGCCCCGAAATTATTATCGTTTCTCTCTCACGATTGTGCTCCGACAATCTTTATTTCTCGCGAATTAGCCGAAACCATTCGTGGTGAACGATTTTTTCTCTAAGAACTGCTACACCGCGAACAGGTTGTCGGTGTAAGACAGAGAGCAATACATCTACCAAAAGGATACTATAGTAATAATAGTGTCAGATAAAAGTAATTTATTCGGATTTATTTATTTTTTTTTATTTTAAGTTTTTATTTCAAGAAAATATTATTTATCTTATTTTATCAACTGTGACAATGTGTTGGCTTGAACGTGATATTGCAGCAAATTCGAACGATGTTATAATTAACGGTTGACATAAAGACATTAAATAGCAGTTATCTTATTTTGGTACTCGAAATGATTGTTTCGGTGAAATTGATAGCATTTAGCGTGAAATAAGGAGAAGTGCAGAACTGGCAATAGAGATTTCGACACATATGTATATATTATGTTCTTACTAGATTGCGTTAGAGTTAATCTCCTCTCTATCGATGCTTCTCATATTGCTAAAGCGCGTGGAACAAATTATGCGATTATCAAGCGAATTCGCGAAATATTGTCTAGCCGGTACAAGGCTCATCAATTTATCCATTCACATGACGATGTAATTGAGTGTTGAAAAAATTATGAAGAAAAATTTTTCATTTTGATACCGCGAGCAAACCAAAGGATTATCTAGGATTTTCCTTGCGGAAAAGATTGAATATGGTAAAGAATTATATTTAATTGCTTAAACATAAATTTTAATAGAATATTTCAATTATTTTCTGTGGATTAATTTGTAAAATTAAAAATTATTGATGCCTCGACGTTTTTTTTATCGAAGAAGTTGTGGTTGAAATATTTTGGAACGATATTAGGACGCTCTCTAGAGAGTCAGAAAATAATTTTGCTAGTTAAAGGTTAAAAAAAACAGGGATAAAAATTCGCAAGTATAATCCTGCTGGCTCCAAATTATCACAGAAAAACAAAGCATTGCGTGCAAAGATAGCGAGAAGAACAGTGAGAGAAAGAGAGGAGGGAGAGAGAAAGAGAGAGAGAGAGAGAGAGAGAGAGAGAGAGAGAGAGACGAGTGGCAGAGAAAAAAGGAACGGCACAGCGGCAACTTCCCGAAAAATTAATATCCCGTGGGAAGGAGGGTGCACCGGCTGCTTGGCTCTCGGGGACGCTTCCATGCTCGACAGGGTGCAGAGGAGCGAGAAAACGACGGATGGCGATGGTGCGGGGAGCAGCAAATGGAAAGCCGGGAGAAACTTTGTTTTCCAAAGCGATTCCCTCGCGCTTCCTGCAGGGAACGGTAGCGGAGAAGGCCAAAGGAGCGCGCAAAGGGATTAGACGCATCTCGCAAGCCAAGTTTCCCCCGCGAAGAAACTCGTCTACGCCGAGATTGCCTCGGTCCGGTCGCCACCGCGCTCTCGAGCCGATCGGCTCGGTAGGATTTAATTGGGCTTGACCGCTTGACCGGATTAATTAATCGGCCGATTACGCCTATCGACGAAGTCTCGGCCTCTCAGCGAGATCGTTCATGCTTCTTCGAGCTATTTACCCTGCGCTGAAGGGTATCCCTTTGTTCGCCGTCGGAAGGTGGCCCGACTAAATTCTTAAGGGCGGTTTGTTGCAGTGGACCTTAATTAAAAGTTCCCGCCAACCTGGCTCGCATAATTACGCCCGATATGGAGTAGCTTATAGCACAGCTGGCATAGGTTGAAGCTGCGATTTTCATTGTTTGTAAAACGCTCCGTATTTTCTTTGTACGTGATTTACTTTACCCTATTAAGAAATTATTTTTATCTTATTTATCTTATATATGAATCAGAATGAGAATAGAAAGGGGACATGTGACATTTTGGCCGAAATTGAGTTTAAAATGGATTCTTGCTCTACATAGATAGGCGCATCTTTCTGCGCAGAAACAGGACATGTGTAACGCTTGTAAGAGGGTGACTATCGAAATTTAGGTCGAGTACAGAAAAGATACTTTGTGTAGCACATGTCCCCTTTCTGCACTGAATGAAGCTGCAATTAATTTTCGTTTAGTACTGGGCCCCATGTCAATGAAGCAAATCTCTTTCACAACGAGAGTAGTGACGAAAATGATGGAGATTAAACCTAGGGTGTTTACTCTTCTTTCGTTCAAGTTACAGAAAGAAACTTTTTATTTCTTTTCTTATGATTTTGTTTAAAAGTGGGTTGCTTTTCACAAAAAGTATACAGTGCTGCCTTTATATTCAACGCAGTAATCACAAACATTCTTTTACGTTATTTAAATCATAGGCCTAGTTTAAATAACCTAGTTTATTTTTGTAATAATCATTTTTCTTTAACTTTAACTTTTCTCATGTTATTTTTAACAGTAGGGTTTTTTCAAAAAAGGACTTTTTAGAGCTGCCATTATTTTTGGTTATTAAGTCGTAGACAGTAATTTATTTTTATGTTATAACTTTTTGAGGTTTTTTTGTTGTATTTCTTCAGCTGTAATTTTTTTCCTTTAAAAATTTTAACTTTTATCAGTAAAATCTTTGAATATAAATAATATTTTCAGCACTACATTAATTTACAATCTTTCTAAGAGTACAAAATAATATTAAGATTATTATGGAACTTATGTGCAGTACCCAAAGGGGACATTTGTAAAATTTAACTTTCCACTAGCGTAAAATCAAAATGTTAAAAAAAATTTTAATGAAAACTTTAAGAGATCCCCCTCTTCTCAGAGAAAAGTGGCATAAAATCTATATTGAATATTGAAAAATTTATATTGCTTACAAAACAATTTTTTTGTTTTTCTTATATGATTTTGTCACATGTAGATACACCCTTTCTGTTCTAACCGATTCATATATTTTTATTGAATTGAGTGCGTAAATCAATATAAAATATTCTACGAGAACGTTCGTCGTAGTTATATTATATGGGTCACAAATTCGCAAATTTGCAGGATTACATCTCTCATCCTAAACCAATCCAAATGTGTGAAACGTATGAATATTCTACGGAGATTTTTGTATTTTTTCAAAGCTGTGGACAACTGGCAAAGAACATTCAAGACGTCCACTGGTCGTCACAGTAAAAAGAGAAGAATGGAGAGAGGGGAGAGGTAGCGGAGTGCCGGGGAAAGAGGAGGTCCGCGTGGGTTGGAACGTTGGCTGTAGAATTTTGGGAGAATTCTGGGGGATTGGTTGCGTCGGAGTGAACTTATGAAACGCCCAACCCTGTTGCCGGTTGCGCCAAGCGAGATATTAAATTTCTGGAATTTTGCGGTTAGGCACGTCTACATGCCGACGGGTCCCTCTCTGTTTCTCTCCCTCTGTTCCTTCCCCTTCTCTCTCTCTCTCTCTCTCTCTCTCTCTCTTTCCTTCTTTCTTCTTTCTCCTTATCTTGCCAATATGTCCACGTCTAACGCCCACAATCGCATGCTGAAGAAACTTGTTCAATTATAATCCCGCCGTGGAAAGATACCGTATCCATTGAAACGACTTTCGCATGTACGAATTCCTAAATTATTGATTATCGATCATTTAATTACGTCACCTCTGATACCTCTGTAATTTCTTTAAGAGCTTTTAAGATGACATAATTTATTTAAGCACAGCGAGACATTTCGTTACTATCAACTTTATTGCGTATCGTCAGCTTAGCCTAATTGTCAGTATATATTTAATAATCTATGTAACATGTACAATGCAATTTGCAAGAGTCGTCACGTCGTAGTATCGGGTGGTCGCGTTTGATTTACTGGAAGGTGAGGAGGAATCGGGAATCGGCTGCTGGCGCCTGATAATTTGCCGTGTAGGCAGTGTTTAGGGGGTTGATCAGGGGTATCACGCGCGAAGGGTTGTCGTACTGGTACTGCACCTGCGCGGCCACGGGCTCGATCTCGAGTTTCTGCGGCTTGGTATCCGCGGGTGCGACCGGGGCGACGGACAATTGTAGACCAGCTGGCACAACCTGCAACTTCTGCAAGGGCGCGTACGCGTAGATCGGACCGCGAAGAGGCTCCACGTTCTCGGCGCGAATCTTGGCGAAGTACTTCATGGCCTCGACGTCCTGGCGGCTAATGTACTTCACGCGCTGAAGACGACCGTCGGGAAGTGCTACGTAGTACTCTCCGGATTGTTGAGGCTGCTTCTCATCGACGTCCTCGTCCTCGAGCTCGTTCACCGCGTTCACGGGCTCGGACTGAAACAATAACGTTGTAATACATAATGGATCTTTCTGTCACCAATTAGTCATTGGTGACTTATACATTGAAAGAGAGAGTAAAATTTTATTCATGTTGTCGAGACTATTGTCCTCTTGGTATGTGTGATGTAAATATGCAAAATCTACATTTTTTTCAAAGTAAAGTGCATTATAGTCGTAATTAGATTTTCTAGCAAGGTTTTTTGAAAATTTCTTAGAGTCGATTATATTTACAAAAACTTGTCATACATTATAATCTAACGCAAAGTCCTGCAAAGAGATTATTTATTAAATAGATGCGCGGAAATTACGTATGTTATATAAAGCGAGTAATTTTTCATTTCTCGGCAAGAGGAAATTTCTGTTTTCTTCCTGATATCTCGCCAAACAAGGCGTAGGCTCGCAGACGACCTCGAATCACGGGTGAATGCATTATGGGTTGTGTCACGCCAGCCTTCGAATTTGGTACGGACAGACACGTGCTCGAGCACCGCGATCGAAAGTAAACGACGCCTCGAATACTAATGTCGTTAGGACGAGAAACGACGAGAACGAGCAACCGTCGAAGATTGAAAAAGAGGAGCCTCAGTGTGCCAGTGCGATTTAAATTCCGAAAACCGTCTTCGCTCTCGTGTAGGCTCACATGCCAACTCAATGGTCCAGTGCGTTCTTTCTTCAGAACGAGATGATAAATCTACGTTACGTAATGTTATGTAAAGCCGGGGAATGCGCATATTCCACGTATGAAATTTTATCTATCAAAATCCCGAAATTTTCGGCAATTATAAGCTTTCTAATAAATTTTAGCTAACGAGATCGCGGTTAATTATCGTACCTCTATGAATAGGAAGATACAGAAACGTGAAATTTTCTTCAAAAATTGCATTTACGTTTAGCGTATAAAATAGTAATGTAACTTTCGATTAATAAAATATTTTATATCTATTAATTTAAATTTAATTTTTATTATAGAGAACTTCAAATCTGTAAAATTTGCAACATATGCCAATTTTACAGATTTGAAGTTCTCTATAATAAAAATTAAATTGAAATTATCTTATCTCATCTAGAATTTATTATCAAATACTTCAATAATTCCAAAAAGAAAAAAGATTCGTGCTTTACTCACCTCAGACTCAGTGATGCCCTGAACGGTAGATACTTCTTCCTCTTCGGTAGTATTAGGAGTCTCAGTCGTTGTGGCCTCTTCCGGTTCTCCGTATTCTCGTTGAGGATTAGATGGTGCTCCGTATTGCCGAGGCGCGCTTGGTGCTCCGTACTGTTGCCGAGACGTGCTTGGTGCCCCGTATTGTTGCCGAGGCGCGCTTGGCGCTCCGTATTGTTGTTGAGGCGCGCTTGGCGCTCCATATTGTTGTTGAGGCGTGTTTGGCGCTCCGTATTGTTGCTGAGGCGCGTTTGGCGCTCCGTATTGTTGTTGAGGTGCGCTTGGTGCTCCATATTGTTGCTGGGGCGCGCTTGGTGCTTCATATTGCTGAAGTTGTCTTTGAGGAAGATCAAAGGCGGGTCCTGCTGGTTTCCAGCCAGACGCGGGATAAGGTGCGGCCTCCTCCTGCTGCCGGGCGAAGTAATACTGTCTCTGTTGCTGATTTTGCTGGCGGTATCTCGGTGGCTCAGCGAGAACCACGCTAGCCAAAAGGACGATGCTGACGAGTACCTGTTTTCGAAGATCAATCGGCTGCATATTATTGCAATAAAGTTTAGTTCGGGTATTATATTCGCAAAAAAAATCAATCGACAGTTTTTTCACATTGCTATATAGCAATTGTTCTAAGAATTGGATAAAAAATTAGAAAATTAGATGATGAATTTATGACTACCTTCATCGTTGCACGATAACAGTTGGCCGGTTGTGTTGACGAGCTGACTGAATTCCGTCATCCTCCGTCGGTGGATTATATACACGGCGTCTCGTATGCGTTCTGCATGTCTAAGGAGGATACCCTGCGGTCGGGGTAGCGACGCGTTCACCGGTCGACGGGTGACATTGGCCTCTTAAAAGAAGCTGATGAATCCTCGATCATTGTTGGCTCATCATTCGGCCGCTCGCGCGCGTTCACCTTCGCCTTTGTCGGCGAGCGGGCGCCTTTTCAACAAAAGCGACGCTCTTCAATGCTCGGCATACGACCGACTATTTCATCCTCCTCAGCTACGAATTCCGCCTTTTCGCACGTTGTGTTTGTTCCGGGCGTACGAGGCGAAAGAAATCGCGCTTCTGTCCTATCGACGATTAAATTTAAAATGGATTGAACGTGCGCTCGCGTATGCGCTACGCCGAAGATTCACCGTTCGTTCAAAATGTATTTTCGAAATACATTTATTAAACTTTTTTACGTAACATCATTTTAAGATTAAATTGCATGAGCATATCGTTTGAGAAAAGCTTAAGTTACATTTTGGCAACGAAACAAAGCTAAGATTCCATTAAAAGGAGCCTAATCGAAGTTAATTGAAGCACAAGATTTTTTTATTCATGTCACGTTATTAGTGTCTCGTTTTTATTCAGATAAACTCATTATAATTTATAAAACGAGCACTACAGGCTCGCGCAAAACACGGTGTCCATTGCCAAAGCGTTTTGTGTAAACAGAATTTCTATTTTTCTTTTGAATTTTAAGAAAAGCGTCTTTGACTCATCTAATCCATCATCGACGCTCTCATCCGCCCGTGACCGATGATCGGGTGCTTAACACATTTCATGGGTCGGAGCAAGGCCGTGTTATGCGACGCTTACGTCGTCGTAATTTTAACTCCGGCTCATCATGCGTGGCATGCGTCTCGTACGTGTCGACCATTCCACACACGGATTTCGCCGACGAGCCGCGGCGACGGCGACACGGCGCGTGACGCTGATTCGCGCTAATCAATTCACCGGCGTACCCGATCTGACCAGCATCCGAGAAATGAGGAACGCGGATCGTCTCGATGCGTCACGCTCGGGACGATTGGGACGATCAGGGTCGCTCGATCGTCCGATCGATCGATCGCGACAATAGTTTGGAATTTATAATGATCGATACCACTCGCCTCACCTCGAGATACGCGTACGTGCGTAAAACGAGCTCCTCGATCGATGTCACATCGTTCGTACGAAAGGAGACTTTTGATTGGAACTATGTCGATTTTTGGGCGACTTAAACCCAGGAAACCAACGTCTAGTAGCACATTCTGAAGATTAATTCAATGTGATCCGCATCTTTTACCGTTTTGTTCCTGAAGCTCTTAGAGAGTTTTTTTTATTAACATCGCTCGATTTTATACTTTTTTTATAAATTTTCTAATTACGTTATAAAATATTTAAAAACTAATGTCATCAAATATCATAAATATACAACTAAGTATAACATTTAATTTGTAATGTAGCTCTCTTTTTTAAGTACGTGCTTCGACTATGATAATTCAATAGGATATTGCTTTTAAATCCTTCCGTCCAAACAGATCTTTAATGAAATGCATTCCTCCAAAAATTGTGCCTTGCCGAGTCCTATATACAGAAGACGGTGGAGAGAGATCTCGATTCGCGGCCACGGAAATCGCGATACGCGAATACCACTCTCTCCGGCGCGACGCGAAATAACGCGGCCTGCATTGGGGTTGACGGGGGGAGGGGGACCACGAGGGGAGTTGAGGGTACACGAGGGGGGCCGATCACGGTGGTAGTCGCGCCGGGCCGAGAGCGGCAAAGGAGAGGGACGGCACGACGGCGGCGGCGGCGGAGGGGTGGGCCCGGGCAAAGCAAATTATTCACACTCAAACGACTCCATTTCAATATCGGGCCGAAGCCCAGGGACAAAAGAAGGGCGAGATGCCTGTCTCCCTCCAGCTTTCGCTTTGCGCTGCTGCTGCTGTTGCTGGCTGCTCGCCGCTGCCCGCCACTGCTCTGGTGCCTCTGTCTGCAGCCTGCAGGCTTAACTCTCTTTTCCCCTCTCTCTCTCTCTCTCTCTCTCTCTCTGCACCCTCTCCCTTTTATCGTGACCCTTTTCTCTCTCTGTCTTTGGCGCGCGCGTTCTCTTCCTCTCCCTTTGGTCTTCTCTCTCTTGTTGTTCTTGCTGTATCCTATATTCTTTTCTATTCTTGCTCTATCATCTAACTCTGGCAACATGACCGCCCGACAGTGGAAAACATCGGGAAATATCGCGGAATCGCGACCTCCTGACTTTTCGCGCCGAGAACTTTTAGCGGCTTTGATTTTGTCTCTTTCGGCCATTATCATACATATAGCATATTCGGTATATGTATATTAATTGTTAAAACTAACAATGCGCTCTCTATCGAATGCGTTATTTCAGCATACGTAGATATCTTTCATAATTTTTCAGATTTTAGAATATATTTTTTGTAAGACAACTCTCTTGCAAATCTGTTAGAAGAAATCTCATTTCTCTTATCGATAGGCGATCATCGGAGATCACTATTATAGCGTGTAAATCTGTGTTTTTAAGAGGTGCCGAAATGGCAGTTGGAAAGTCGGGACTTCAGCTGCACGAGCGAATGAAAATGGAAAGACGAGGGAGAGAGAGTGGAAAGAAAAAGATATACGAGAGAAGAGAGGACGGCGCGGCGCGCAGGTTTGAGTCCCGTAATTGAATATATTTAAGCGCGGGAGGGACGTTTGTGCGGATTCTCGGCTTACAAGAACCCCATGCCGAGGTAACGTCTGCGAGTAAACTGGATTAATCGTCTATGAAGGGAGACCGTAACCCCGCCGCATTCGTTTGCAATCAGATCCCTCCGGGGAACGCGAAACAACACCGCTCGTTGTAGCGCGCGGCCTTGTTTCCACTGCAATTTTACATCGATCATCGGCGAGCAGATAGGGAGAGATCATCGGGTCGGGTGCTGAAATAATTCACATTTAAGATGGATCAACATTTCGGTGAGAATAACACGGCGGGAAAAATATGCAGCGAGCGTAAAATAACTGTCGAGCCTTTCTGAAATTTTTTACAATGTCAATGTTTACGAACTGTAAAATTATATAAAAATCTAAAATTTTTTAGGATGTATTAGGATCTGCAGTAATCGGGGAATTAAGTACATATATTTTTAAATAAATGTAAACCATAAATAGTTTTTAATTTAATAATTAGTTACTAATAATTAATAATTACTTATAAATAACAGGTGCCAAGTTAAAAAAGATTATCGACATTTGTCATAATTGGGAATATTTATAATAATAATTTTTAATAATCAAAGAATATATTAGAAGCGGTTAGTATTTTTAATCGAATATTTATTAATTATTATATAGATATTAAATGTTGCTTCGAAATTAGCAGTAATAGAATTTACGACGTGAATAGAAGGATGCATTAAATGAAAGCCAAAATATTATCCTCGAAAAGAGACTAATTGCATAATCCACAACCACAAGTTTTCCTCAAGTTTTGCTCTCTCCTACATAAAGAGCTCAGGCCTATAAAACATAGCGAGATTTCTCACGAAATCGCTATAAAAGACGTGTCGTAATCAGAAATGATGTCCGTCACGTTCGCATCGTCTTACAACGACCGAAGTGTCTTTTTGATCCACGATACGCCTCCAAGGAAATAAATGAACCAATCTACATGCAATCTGCGCACCTTATCTGGATAATTAGTTTAAAGAACTCGCGAACGCGGTTGAATGCTTAAATAAATACCTTACACTTTTCTTTTCTGATGACAAATTTATTAATTATCTATTTAAGCACCAACAATGCATCTATTAATCATAAATTACTGTCTTTTTTTAGTTGGCAACACTATTTTTAATATATATATGCAAAGAAGAAAAATTAAATTAATTAATTTTAATAATTAATTAAAGCGATCATGTCGAGCCTAAATAGGATTCTAGAGAGATCTCAAATAATTCTGGTTTACTTTTTAAAAGTTTGTAATTAGTAATAAATAACTGCAAATAATGGAAAGATAATTTGTACCAGTATCGAAAATTGTTTCAATTACGCATCATAGAGACCTCAAATGGTTCCGCTTGGGTCGTTCGAATCTTTAAATATCTTATTGTCGATCTGTCAAGATCGTCAAAGCAAAACCGCCGCTTGCCGCGGGATTTTATTTCAAGCAGCACCCTTGGGAGCCACGGATGCCACGGGGGTGCGTAACAGCGTGCAAACTGTTTGGCTACCAGTTGCGCGCTCCCAGAAGGCTCGTTTTGCAAGTCGTAAACGAATTAAGGCCTTCGCCGTCGGCACCGCGCCGCGTTCAACCATCGGGGAGAAGTTTCGAAACCGCTTTTGATTTACATTCCGGTCGCCTGTCATGCGCGGCTTGTAGCATCGCCGCGAGATCGTTCGCGGCCACACGCCGGTTAGGAATACGACGGCTTCGATTCTGAGCCTTCGCGCTAGCTAGATTAATAATCACGATTTCGTTTGTAAAAGACTCCGCATAATTCTTATGATGGACTTATGGAAAATAACTTTCGTCGAAATCGACTGTAACTTCGTTATTTTATAGTTTATAATGTTTATATAATGCCGATAAAAAGTTAACATTACCACAACTTTCACATATAAATGTTTGACTTTTAATAAATAGCCAAATTAATCCTATACATATATCTGATTATTACTAATCGCATAAAAACATCTCAGGAACGTGAAAATAGAGAATATTTTAAATAATTCGAGCTCCATTTTTTCATTTTCAGTAAAGTGGATGGGAAGGAAAGGGGAAAAGTATCGGTAAGACTTTTTCGGCCATTAAAATGACAAACATGTTCTTAATTTCTAAGTCATTTTTCTTTCATATTTGCAAATTAGATAAGTAAAATATATTTTGTCGTGTCAAAATACCATATTTTTTTATTGTATTCTGATGCACAATAATATTACAAAGTCGCGATTAAGTCACTCAC